ATCAAACAAAAATATGTGAAAAATCCCTCGACTCGACACAGCTAAACAAATAAATCTCTTGAGCCAATCTGTCCTGTCCTACCTGTCGGCAAACACGGGATACTCCCTGGCCAGCCTCACAAACAGTTCATGCTGCTCCTCCGGGGAGACAGAACAGAAGTTTTCTGGGGGTCGGTCGTACACAGTGGTGGCCCTGTTGGGGGGAAAAGAACAAAACATCACAACAACTCCTTTAGCTGGATCGCACTGCTTGGCAGATATCTAATTTAAGAAAGGTCAAATTTTTTATTTTATTCAAACGTCAGCTGAGGTAATTTCAGTTTTCAGACTTAAGAGAAGAATCAAGATTTTTTAGTCAGAACACAGTGAACTGTTTATGTGTTGCTACTTGTATTTGTAAAGTGCTGAGAACCTGTGTTCTTTCATTGAAGTCGAGCGCTATGTAAATGTTATGTATTAATATTATTATTAAAAATTTAAGTAGCTGTTTTTCATGAAATTCCCAGCCTCCAGAATACAGTTCAAGATCATGGTAAGAGGAAAATATCTGGATCATCTGCACACACAGTGACATGGCAAATGCCAGGATCATAATAATATAACCTAAAAATTTGAAATGTAACAGGTAGCTGAAACTTAAAATTTTCTTCAAAATCAGTGGCCCTGGTGGTGTTCTAAATCAAAGAGACACTACTCAGAGAGCAACAAGCAACACATACATGACACTGTAAACAATTTGAAAGTCAAGCCAAATAAAATAGAATATTCTATTTTAAAAAAAGGAAAGCATACAGTTTGATTTGGAACAAAGAAAAAGACGAGAAGCAAACATGAATCTTCTCCAAAGCCACCGTGTCATCACATCGCTAGCCAACTGTTCACATGTACTGAACCCAAAATTTTGACAATTAAAAAAAATGTACGGGTTTAATTTGCGGTATTGATTACGTGATCTCAAGAAATATTTTGCGAAAAATTAAAATTCTAAATATTGAAAAAAGCAACTGATAAAAAATGAAGCAGTTTTTTCTCTCTCCTCAAAAATTTTGCTTTCTCATCTTTTCCAACAGCTGGCAGACAAAATGCTTTTTTAGTCGTTAAGGCAACCACAGTAGCACACAACAACTGGAAAAAAAATGCCATCATTGTTCTCCATCTCAGTTGGTTTGTGTTTGGTTCTTTGTTGGTTTTGGGTTGTTGTTTTTTTCTTGGGGGGGGGGGGGATTTATTAGCCAAGGCTTCTCACTTAATGTTCCAGTTCTGTTGCAGGTCTTTTTTCATCGCTTTTGTGACACAGATGTTGTAGGCTGACAGACGACCACAAATCTTCTCATATCTGGGGAGAAGCAAAGTGATGGATCTAATGCTGAAAGCACAAAAACATTCCGTTTACATAAACAATTTATCACTGAAAAGGATACCTTAAAAATCTTAAAGTTAAATCCCAAAGCATGCAACATTCAATGAAAGATCAAATTAACTTTTAGCCTGCACATCAGTTTTGTGAATAATTCACTTGGTAACTTTATTACCCAATTCTTAGAAAAACCTTATTTAGTGGGTGGTTGGTGGGTGCTTTGGTGTGGTTTTCTCCTTTCCTATCAAACACATATCATCCTTATCTCCTCTCCTCCTTCATTTGTTTGTATATTAATCTCTGGTAAACCTCTAATCTTCAACACTTATTTGACCTAATTGCATCGTACGTACTGTAAAACTATTTCTTCAAATTAAACCGAAAAATCTAATTTTCAGACCAACCCTGGCCCTACCTAAAATTACGTGTACAGATAGTGGTACTTGACACTGAGGCATCAACTACACATCACGGCCTTAGTGCTCTCTTGTCTCCATTTTTTTCAACAGTGAAAATGTGACTTCTTCTTAAGCTCACTCTTTGTTATGAACTCTTTTCACTGTTATAAAAAAATGGAGATATGACAAGATCGCACTAGGGATAAGACATGTTCCACTCACTGCTCTGCGAATCGAACCATTGGGTGTCCTGACTTCAAGGCCATGGCCAGGATGGTGTGCCCGTAGTTGTGCCAGTCGATGACCAGCTCGCTGCAGCGGACACGAGACACCACGTAGGCCACGGCCATGGTCGGGATTGAAGGGGGGTTCTGAAGGAAAACATTGGAAGAACGTTGGGAGAACATTGGAAGAATGTTGGGGGTTTACTGAACTCTTTATCTGTGTGTGTGGGGGGGGGGGGGGGGGGGATGTAAACCTACTCTGCCGGGGCTCTTTCTTGGTACTAAATCTAAAAATGACGATGTCACTAAATGGGTCATTAATTTAAAGCAAGTGAACCTATTTTGATAGTTCTTCATCTAAAGAATGAACTCCTGACAAAAGAGATCTGTTTTCAGCAACTGCCAAAAAGTAATTTGATGTCGTAATTGTCGTCAAGGAATGCGGCTCACCAACACAGGGGTTCCGACCGCGAGCCTCTGAGAGCGGCTTGCCGGAGATAAAGAGTTAAGTCAAATCATTTTTTTTATATCTGTGTTTTTACACCCCTATTGACACAAATTAGATAGTTCAGAATTGACACAAATTAGATAGTTCAGAATTGACACAAATTAGATAATTCAGAATTGACACAAATTAGATAATTCAGAATTGACACAAATTAGATCATTCAAAATTGACACAAATTAGATCATTCAGAATTGACACAAATTAGATCATTCAGAATTGACACAAATTAGATAATTCATAATTGACACAAATTAGATAATTCAGAATTGACACAAATTAGATAATTCACAATTCGGGCTTTGACTCTGCCTGTCAAGGCTTCTATCTGAGCTGAGAGGGATACTATAACTCCCAGCAAAAAGATGGAGATACTTCGCAAAAATTCTCACTACCTGGGAATCAAACTCGGGTCTCCTGTGTACAATGGTGAAGTGTCTAACTGCTAGAAACATCCCTTCATTCTTCTCAGTGCCAGAGAAATATATCAAAGTAGCAGTACCAAAAAGTTCATAAGTCGTTCACATGACCTGTTTTCAAAATGCTGGCTTTAAAAAATGAAGCAACAACCCAAATATTTAAGCAGTCTATTCTTGTGCTTTCAGAATTTTATGCAATAATTTAATACAGGATGATTTTTTCTTAATTATAAAGTTCAAAAGATCATAAGAAAACTATTGACACCTATTTCATACACTTGAGGACTTAGATCAATTCTGTATAAAATACAATATTGTAATATCAAACATTATTTATTTCTTCATTTGCAGATCTGATATCCGACACATTTTGTCACATGTGGAAGAAAAGAGACACTCCAGTCTCCCTCGGTTTTTGAGAATGGCTCATATATATAATATATATATATGAAGATGCTACCATCAAAGACAAAGAGCAAAGCAGACAAAACTACGGCAAACCTGCAGGAAGTAGCTTCCCATCTTGGGTAACAACAACAATGTCCATGACAACGCAAGAGATTGCCAGATCACTTTCAGAAAATACTGGAAAATCTTTGGATAATCTGAAACGACAAAATAAAATACATACCCTCTGTCAACAGTCTATCTTTTATTCGAAAGACATTGCTATCAAACAAAAATATAATGAGAAAAAAATATATGTGTGACAGCGTGGTGGAATCAGGCTCTCGTCAAAATAATGAAAGTGAGGAAACTTGCATTTTTCCGCAGGTTTGTGAGTTTTTATCAAATTTTTGTTTTTTGGCTCAACACCTTTCATGTCCCTTAAAGAACTCATTTCTGTGTGGACTTTTCTCAAAAACGTTGATTTAAGGCACAAAAATGTAAATTTTCAGTTACCACGGACTCTTCAGCTAAGGAAATAACCAATCTTTGGTGGCCATTTTCCGACTAATTTTACCTTTGAAAACAGGTGACCCCATCTCCTTCATTATCAAATATCTCGACTTGTATTCAAGATAAATGGATATTTTTTTCATAGAAATAAAGACAAGTGAACAAGCTTTAAGATGACACCAATAACTCTACACGCCCAAAAATTGACGAGAGCCTGATTCCACCACACTGCCTCACATTTATATGATATGGATTCATTAGATGAGTAATTGTTGCAGTTGATTGGCTTACAACTTACTGACATTGTTCAAACTGTCACGTGGTCAGTGTGTGCCACTTGCAGACATTAGTGAAACTGTCAAGTTATTACTACTTGTAACTTGTGTGAAGGACCGATATCACTGCACAAGGGACATCCCCATAAGCGTTCCGTCCCCTGAAGAAGCACATCTCTAGGTGAGTAGATGCTGACGGTTCCAAACAATGGTTGATTCCATAGCCTTCACCTCCCCCCACTAAGTCTTGATCTTCTGCAGGCGCCCCATCCAATTCCAAGCTCACGAAGTCACTCAAGATGATGGTATTCCGATTCTTAAACTGTCAAGTAACTCAAAGCTGACTAATGTAGCAGCAGCCTAAAATTCTGAAACATACTGTGGAGTCTACTAAAAAATCTACGGGACCAACACATTTTCTTTGGTTTAGTCGTGTTTTCAGTTCAGAGAGACTGCTAAGAAGATGAAGAAAAAAATTCAGTCAGGAGTTTATTTTCTTTAAGATTACTGGTGTTTTTGAATTATCTGTGTGTATTGTTTCAGCGGATCCACTGTATTTGACAAAGTATGGTGAAAATATATTCAGACCTTTCAAGCCGCTTCTGATTAAGAAAATGATTAAAAAGTATGACCAATGCAATGATGAGTCAAACATATAAAGTATTGTACTTACATTTGAAAAAGTTAGGAGCCTCTGTAACATAGTGCAACTCTATGTTCTCATTTTCCACCAGCTTTTTGGGTGGAACAGAACCTGTGAGAGAAATATGAAGTTCAAGATTAAAGATCTTGTTTAAAAAATTACCAAAATAATTATGAAAGTGTAAAAGACCAGAAAAATGCCTCGCTGAACACTACTGAACAGTAATGAGGGCATTAACAAAACAAATGAAAACAATGAGCAGGTTTAGAAAGAGATTTTTAGGTTGGGACTTCAATTTTTTTAAAGCACCATGAAGGAATGTTCTTTTTTATTGTTTCATTAAACTTCTTTTAATATTTTCCTGTCAACACTCAGCTGAACATTTTCCAATAGTCTACTGGACTTGTAATCGTGAGGTTGCAGGGTCAGGGGTTTGACCCGCGGGCACGTCGTGAAAGACACTTTACACAAATTTTTCTCACTTCACCCAGGTGGGAATGGGTACCCAGCCATAGACAGCGAAAGATCTTGTCCATGTTAGTGTTTGAGCGCCTATAAATGGCTGCTTGAGCTGTACGCTTCCCAGGAAGTTGAGGTTGTTTCAGAAGGCTATCAGGTCTGCTGGGGTACCAGTAATAGTATAGATTGTGAAACGCATAGAGCTTGCTGTTGAGCGGTGATTTGCGTTCTGTACAAATGCAATCTATTCTTATTAAGGACACACTTAGATGGTAATTTAAGCCCATACACGCTGATTTTCATCACAAAATTTTCTGGGTGTCTGCTCCTATGACTGAATAAATAACCCTTGTCAGTAATGTAGTGTTAGTGCTTTAGAGCCTCTATAAAATGGCAGCTTGCCTTGTATTTGTATGTATGCTTCCAATGAAGTTGAAATCGTTTCAGAGTGCTTTCAAGTCTGTTGGGGTTTATAATTATTTTATATAGATTATAGCCCACACAGCTCGCTGTTGAGTGGAAATTTGCGCCACATGGTATCTATAGTATTATTAAATAAAATGTGTATGTATGTATAGTGTATGTAAGTATGGGTGTGTTTACAAAATATGTGAGTGCATATGAGTGTGTCTGTTTATGTACCTGTGTGAGTGCTAGAGAGAAAGAGAGACAGAATGAGGACAAGAGGGAAGAAGAGAGAGAGAGAGAGAGAGGGAGAAGAGGGGGAGAGAGAGAGAGAGAGAGAGAGAGAGAGAGAGAGAGAGAGAGAGAGAGAGAGAGAGAGAGAGAGAGGGAGAAGAGGGGGAGGGAGGGGGAGAGAGAGAGAGAGAGAGAGAGAGAGAGAGAGAGAGAGAGAGAAAGAGAGAGCAGGGGGGCATATTTTGGGAAAGGGAGGGGGAGTGTCATATTAATTATCGACCAAGCCTTAAAATCAGTTTATGGCATTGGGTCTCTTCTAGCTGTGCCTCTTGAGAAACCAGAGGCACTGGAACTGGAAAATCTCCATGACACCGTTCAAAAAATGTGGAGGGGAGGTTTGAGGAGAAGGAAAGACTTCCATAACGAGTGACCACCCCAACAAACACATGAAAAAGAAGAGACCTAGATTCTAGATCTAACCCTAACCCTGACCCAACCCCTCCCCTTACCATTGCCTCTAGCCCTAACCTTACCCCAAACCCTAACTCTCTATTATACTGTTTCACTGGTCGCTCTTTACGGAAGTCCTCCCGAGGAGAATCATGTTCTCTCTTCTTCATTGCCATCATGCCCACTCCTTCCCCCATACACCCACAACTGTGTTTTTACTGAACATTGTAACATACTGTGATTTATTGTTCCAGTTGTGAGTAATGTGAGGAGAGCCCCAGCCCCTACTCTACATGCACAAAGTATGGTAAAGTAGAAAACTATGATTGAGAAAAGACTGAAAACATGTATTGCTCCTCTCAAACTGGGTTCTTCGGCAGAAATACTCATTTAGCCTTGACCTTGACCATCAATGATTTATTTATGGCTTCTGTTTATTTATAGAGGCACCAGCCATCCATGTCCAGGTGCTGTTGTTTTAGCATCTTTTTCCTGTCTGCGGATTAATAATCTTTTTTTTTTGCCAATTTATTGGTTCCGCTTCCATGTACCCCCATCTACTAGATCTGTAGTTTAAGAACCAGTACAATTTTTAACAGACTCCTTTTTTAAATCTGTGCGTAAAAGTGGGATTTTCGTGAGTAAAATGAGTATTCTGTCCTGTTCTGGGTGTTCTTGATCTAATTATATATAGATCTATGTGTCACAAAAGTAAAAGTGACAAGGAAGGACTAAGACCACTAAGTCTAGGACTGGGTAGTGCCTACCCTACTCAGACTCAAAATGTGCGCATGAACTATGACAGCCGTGGGGAGAGTATAGTGTTCGTGAATGGCAGATCATTGTCAATCAGTGACGCTGACAGAAATGCTAGTCACCTTTATATCCAACAAGGTACACTTTAAATCCTTCCTGAGCAAAACTCAGGGCGTGGTAGAGCATTCGGGGGCTGCGCCCTATGTCACCCAACACGACAATGCAAACATGCCGGGGGGTCTTCACGATGAAATTCACTAACAAATACAGAAAAATAAACACAAACGGAGTGTAAAATAGAATCGGTAGAGCAAAAGACATTGTGCTATTTTTCCAACAGCTCGATCCGCACTGATTTATACAAACTTCAATTATACACCAGAAATCTGAGCTAAGGTTTAGATCTAGTTGTGTTCATTACTATTAGTGAGTGCATTCGTTGCGTGTAAAAGTCACAGCTGTGAGATCAAAACATCCGCCTTTCCAAACTTGACTTTGCAAACAAAAGAGCTCTCGTCACAACTGTAATCCTTACAGCTTTATAAAAAGTAAACAACGTTTATGTCTTCAACCAACATTAGGGACAATACCTTGTGGATCAAAAGAGCTTCTTGTTATTAGATCTTAAAATCAGAACAAATATAGTTCATTTGAAGCTATACAATTCCATTCATTATTTACCCTTTAAATTAGGAGCGATAGGTGTTTGTTGACTCACTGAGCTAGTGAGCTTCACTCTCTCGGGGCAGGGGGAAGGGCCAAGGACGGGAGATAACTTCCGACGCTCAGAAGAATCTGACAATCTGTCAACCCAACCCCTCCGACTGTTGTGATATTGTGATAGAAACGTTTGGTTCACAAATCGCTTGTCGAGACTACAGCTGGCATCTGGCTTGATCTTTGAAACTGATATCATGTGATGGGAAAGGGTTTTAGAGATGTATTAAATGAATTAAACGATTTTGAAAAATTGTCCAGTACCCTAACCTGACGTAGTACTGCTTCTCTGCCAAGCTTGGACCTCCTAATGTGAAAGGGAAAGGGAAACGAACGTAGAATCAATTCTAAGAATGGAGACTGACGAACCACAGTCTAACGTAGCCCTACCATCGCAGCCACGGCAGTTTGTTGGTACCACCGAGATGGCAGGGTCATCAGCTTCTGTCCCCCAACATATCCATTACCATTTTCACACTCACCAACACCCAGCCCCATCACTGCCATCAGCAGTCAGTTTTGGAGAAGCATCGGTTCATTCTGAGCCAGAGAGACTTCACTTAGCCGACTTAGCGATAGTTGACGATGATTCGCTTGGCATTGGGGCCGCAACCTCAAATCTGAGTCTAAATTCTAGTTCTAGTTCTAGTATTCCGAGAGAACCCAGTATAGACAACAGAATGGAACTTCTTTTGGCTTCAAGGCATTCTCTACAGAGACAAATTAGGAATGACGAGTTGCCTGTTTTGTCTTTTCCATACTTCGATCCTGCAAAGGTAATCATTTTATCTGGCATTATTTGGATGCCATTGAATAATTTCAGTATGCTTTTATACCTCATTTTCTTCATTTGATTGTTTTGAAATTTTAAATATTAAATCAAAAGCAGGGCCGGTCTTCCAGCTCCTGGCGTCTTGGAATGCCTTTTTATAGCTCTTAATGAGCATTTGCCAAAAGGTGGGATACCTGGGTGTGACAAATGAGGTCCAAAATCAACTTTATGTAATAATTCTTTAATCACCCATATTATATAGCCTAATGATTGCTCTTTCAGACTCAGTAACTGCCAAAGCTGTATATGCAATGGTCTTGGTGTAATTCTGACTTGAATGACGGAAATAGCAAAAAGTTCGTTCATAACAATGATGACACAAATTTATGAATACTCGAAGTTCCTTTCTTCAGCTAGGCTGAGGTTATATTTTGAGACATAGCAAATAACTTCCAAAACTACATAGAATTGACAATTTATAAAAATCTTTATTAATTTTTGATAAAATTACTTTTTTGTGTCATAATAGTTATGAACGAACAATAAGTGACCAAAATACTTATCAATTATATCAAGTTTCATCGACTAGAATTGTCTAAAATAACACTCAATTGACTAATTATAGTCAAGTGATAAATGAAAGACCATTAAACAGCTATTTTTAAACGCAAACTGGTCTTAGGGCATATTATGCATAAATTTAAAGTTCGTTCATAACCATTATGACACACTGTTTCGTTCATAACTATTATGACAAATTTTACTTTTGGCCCCTAAAATTTACTTATATTGTTCTGTCTTTCACATAAAACGGTTTTCATTTATGAGGCTTTCCTTAAAATGATAGATTCCTCTATGTAGGGAGAATTCAAAGTTTATATTTCCTGAAAAACCCTTAGAATACCTTTAAAATGGTTCGTTCATAACAATTATGACAAACTTCAATTTTGACCTAAAAATTTACTCATTTTGATCTGTCATTCATTTTTTAAAACTTTTATTAAATGAAACTCTCCTCATAATATGTATCTCTGTACATGTTTTTAAAGTTTGTTAACACTGAAAAGCCCTCAAAATATATAAAATGGACTATAAATAGTTCGTTCATAACCATTACTACAAAAGTATAATACTAATTAAAATCCACACCCATACACTTATGATAAAAATCAAAATATCAGAATGTATGCAAGGTCTTTTCTGTCCTTTAGTTGGGTTAAAATTAAAAATACATCCCAAAACAACTGTAAATTACATGGAATTAGGTTTCGTTCATAACCGTTATGACACACTGTTTCGTTCATAACTATTATGACAAATTTTACTTTGGGCCCAAAAAATTAACTTATTGTTCTGTCATTCACATAAAATTGTTTTAATTTATGAGACTCTCCTCAAAATAAGGTTATATGTTGGAAGAATTCAAAGTTTAATCACTGAAAAACCCTTAGAATACCTTTAATTGTTCGTTCATAACTATTATGACAAACTTCAGTTTTGACCTAAAAATTAATATTTTGACCTATCATTTACTTTAAAATTTCATATGAAATGAAAGTTTCCTCATAATATGTATCTGTGTACATGTTTTTAATGTTTATCAACTCTGTAAAGCCCTCAGAGTACAATATGTAGTTCGTTCATAACCATTACTACAAAAGTAAAATACTAATTAAAATCCAGACCCATACACTTATCATAAAAATCAAAATATCAGAATGTAAGCAAGGTCTGATACATCTTCAAGTTGGGTTAAAATTAAAAATACATCCCAAAACAACTGTAAATTACATGGAATAAGGTTTCGTTCATAACCATTATGACACACTGTCACGTTCATAACATGATGACAATCCATTATGACAAGCATATTTTTGCCTCTCCTTCGCTTCTCTTTTGAGTCATCAGCACGATACTCTTCCATGTTCATTCCACCATGTAAAAGCAAAACCATGCGATGGAGCGGAAAATTACCCTTCTGATGGATCAATGTCAAACCAATGTTTAATACCGGTCATTTCCCGGGATGATATGCTTAACGATTTGGGTTTTCTAGACCTTGGAAAGTCTGATGATGTAATTATGACACGAGTTATGAACGAACTTATAAATTTTACTCAGCAATAACATCATTAATATAAAAAAATAAAACCCTTTTAATGGACACACGCTGTTATGATGGTGTATACAAACTATTTTCAATGTTTGAATGCACTACTGTTTGATAGTTTAAGATTAACAATATTCTGTATTTAACATACAATTACGTGTGCACTCAGGATGAGTAAAAAATGCCCTATTTTTAGTACTATTATCTTTCTATGTAGAGATATAAGATGCACACATCAATCTACTTGCTCATGCAGCTTGACCAACTTATTTCCTTGCCATATGCATAAAGTTTTCAGAAGAAAACATATTTTACCATGAGTAGTGGTTGATTAAAAAAGTCCTCATGCAAACACCCCCACCTTTTGGCAAAAGCTCTAATAATATTAATAATATATATATTATATATATTTAATTATTTATGGCCTTTTGTAATTACTTTATTGAACTTGATTTGCTTTTGGGGTCAAAATTTATTATATAATAGTGAAAATTTGATATTTTGTTGTTGTTTGAATTTAACAAAAAGTGTATCTACCAAGTAAGGTCAAACCCTTCTGAAATTGTTTTTCACATCTGTAGTAGAATTGGTGAGGCTAAAGTTTAGAGGTAAAAGAACACCATACACACGAAATTTTAGAAATTTTAAATGAGAAAGATATAAACAAAGAAAGTGCACTTTTTTAAAAGGGTTTGACATAATTTGGTGAGGAAACATCATGGACACTGTTTTTTTTTAAAGTCTGTCTACAGCGTCGCGCCAGTCAATAGATAGACGGCTTTACTCCGACGTCACGTATAGTTGCACATGTTGCTTCTCCACAGCTTTCCACCTCCCCCGTTGGCACGTCATGTCGGCTTCCCATAATGGTAGAATGCATTAATGACCTCTCTGTTCTGCTTACACGAGACTCAGCTTTATGTCATGTCCCTTTTCCAAAGGAGGCTTATTATTTTGTACAGTGTAGTATGCTCTTTACATAATAATAATAATGAAGATTATTTCTATAGCGCCCACTCCCGTGTAAACACAGCTCTAGGCGCTTTACATAAATGCATTACGAACAATATTCATGCACGCGACACACACACACACACACACACACACACACACACACACCCGCACAAATACTCACACTCATACACACACAAACACACACACATATACACATACACACACAAACACACGCATACACACACTCACGAAACACATGTGCACACACATGTATGCCAAACACACACACACATTGACACACACACACGCACACACGCACGCACACACACACACATCTACTTGCTTATCACACACACATGCTTACACATCGTCACGAAATGAGCATAAAATAGCAAGTGGCTATTCTCCGGCGCGCCGGTCAATAGATCAGAAGCTATTCTCCGGCGCAGCGCCGCCGGTCTATTACTAATAATTTGTCGGCGCAGATTTGCAAATACCTCTCTCATCTGTTTGTCTTGGAAAAAAATTCCCACAACTTTACCACTTCGTGCCACTTCCATTGATGCAGACGATAGGTTTCCAGACACAAACTGCCCCAATTCCTCAATGTAGAATTATGTTGGGTGCAAGAAGAAACGTGTTCACATCTATTGACGCGAGTTCATAACAAAGAGTGAGCATAAGAAGGAGTCACATTTTCACTGTTTACAAAAATGGAGATTCGACAAGAAAGCACTGAAGTCGCGACATATCATATCAGTTAAATTGATCTAAAATTACAACAAGAAATAAGTTAAACAGCAAGCTATACTATATGACTAGACACAAAATCAATTTTATTCATTTAAATAAACAGAATCATTATTTTGAAATAAGCAAATGGACGATGGAAATAAATGAATAAAGTTGTTAGACAATTACCATAGATAAAATATAATGAAAGGTAGACTTACAAGGCCTAGTTATGACGCCGGAGAATAGCTTCCGATCTATTGACCGGCGCGACGCCGGAGAATAGCCACTTGCTAAAATAATATATACACTGCAATTCACAAAATACATAAATGGATACATAGTCATTTACATAACATTGTATTGAACATGAATCTACTGACATAAAAAGGATGTCATTAAATGTGTCTTTAAAGATTTTTTAAATTTAGACTCAGATGTATGTCTCAAGGGTTAGGGATAAGAGTTCCAAACTGACGAAGCAAGGTGGGCGAACAATCTTTCAGCAAATTTTTTACCCCCATTTCTAGGAACTCTTAAAAGATACTGATTGCCTGATCTTAGTGATCTAGATGGAACATAAATCTGGATGAGATCACTAAGATATGAGGGAGCTTTGTTATTGACACATTATGACGTAATATTGCAATTTTATGACATTCTAGCTGACACGGGAAGCCAATGCAACGTTCTTAACATGAAAGTAATGTGGTCCCTCTTCTTTTTCTTTAGTACAAGCCTAGCAGCATGATTTTGAAAACGTAACTTGTGAAGAGAGGTATTTGGTAAGTTAGCTAGTAAAGCATTGCAATAATCGATGCCTGAAAACAAGAAAGATGACACGAGCATTTTCAACGAGTGTTCATTCAAAAACATAGACATATGACCAATTCTACGCAATTCACAAAATAAAATGGTACATAAATAATTTATATGATGTTCCATTGACAATTTTGAATCAAAATACACTCCCAGATTTTTTGCTTTATTAGTCTTAATACATGTCATAATTCTTTATATTTTTTCCACAGTTGAAGCCAGTTGACCTCTGCGTTCTGCTCACACTCAGCTTTATGTCATGTCCCTTCTCCAAAGGAGGCTTATTATATAGATCTATTATACAGTATGCTCTTTACATGTCCTTATAATTCTATATAGCGACAGAGTTGTGGTTCATAAGACGCATGCTGCGTATCCCATGGACAGCTAGAAAAACAAATGAAGAAGTCCTGGTTGAAGCAAATTATAGAAAACAACTTATCACAAATATAAGAAAACGACAGGCAAATTTCTTCGGACACACAATGCGGAAAGAAGCATTAGAGAATATTGTCACAACAGGAAAGTTTGATGGAAAGAGGGGCAGAGGCAGACAGAGGGAAAAGATACTGGACAAGATGACAACATGGTTGGGAGCAGCAAGAACAACAGACACCATTGCTGCAGCAAAGGACAGGGTGAAGTGGAGGTCCATGATCGCCCACGCCAGTCGGCAAGGCACCGGATGATGATGATGATAATTCTTTATATTTTTTCCACAGTTGAAGCCAATTGACTTCAGCCTTCCGGTACCTGTGGGAGATATTGTACTTTTTAACACGACTACTTCCTCCCTGGCCTCTGGAAGTTCGGGGGAGTCTTCCGAAGACTCTCAGCCTCAGCAGCTTCAGCTTCTTCCTCTGTCGCACGGCAGGAGACAAATGAGGCTGGCCAGAAAACGCTTCCTCTTTCGAATTGGCCTGAGGAATTCCTTTACAGGTATGTCGGAGAGATCATCTTTGTTGGTCTTGATGTGACTAGGACATTTCTTTTGACAGAAATATGATTGAATTTCTTTTTGCAGCTGGAATATTTTTATTTGTACTGTCAAAATTGTCCAAAACGGCTGCCCATTGTTGTTTAGGGAAGAAGTGTCTGTCTTAGACAGGCGGACATCTTGGGGGATGGTAGAGGTTCAAGTTCACAGAAGTACTTTTCCATATCGACTGCTTAGGGTAAGGCTTCGCTGTACCCCATTTTGAAAAGTTACAAATAACGGACTTTTACTGAGTAGTCGATAGGTTTATTAAAACTTTGTTAAGACTCTAGACCTGTTCTTCTTTTATAAAGGATTTTATTACATGTGATAGTGAGGTCCTGAGATGGTGTTGCAAGAACTGCCTCACAGACTTGATCCAAGTTCTGTTTGTAATGTGATCATGTATCATTCCATTTAATGAATGACCCTTTTAAAAAGAAATTGAACTTTCAACTTTGAATATTTTTTTTCCTTGCAGAAGTGAGAAATTTTATGAGTGCCGTAAACCAGGGAGATCTTGTGAAAGGTATGTTGACCTCTGGACAAAAGTGACGTGTTCTGATGAACACTTTTGTTGAAAGAGTTGTCTTTTCTGTGAAAGGTTCTAAGTATAGAGTCAAACAGGCACATATAGCAAATGTGGGTGGTTGGTGGGTGCTCTGGTGTGGTTTGCTCCTTCTTCCCTATCTGACATCTATCGTCCTGATCTCTCCTCCTTCTTTTTTTATGTTTGTTACTCTCTTGTAACACCTCTAATCTTCGGCACTTATATGACCTTATTGTGTTGCAAGTGCCGTAAAACTCATACGGAAACATATATAACAAACAGGTTTTCAGGTCCTGAAATTTACCTTATACATCACTTATATATTCTTTCATTTTGAAAACGTACACAGTGAAATTTGTATACACAACGAAAAGATATCCATCACATGCCGCTTATTTCGTTTTGTGCGTGTTAGACTATATTTTTTTTTTTTTCGGTAGCCTACCTGTGTTCCTGACCAACTACTCAGTCTAAGATTTGATGTTGTTTTTTATGGCCATCAGTTCTTTGAGGTGATCCTTTATGCCCAGTGTTTGTCAGTGTGTGTGTGTGTGTGTGAGAGGGAGAGAGAGAGAGAGAGACTGTTACGGTTACGCTTCTGTGACTGACTTGTGCATTATCATTGAACTTAAATATTATGAGTGCATTTCTGTGTTGAGGCAGAATCTGTGCACCGGTATTTCAATGTTCTGATCCACTCTGAATTTCCCTCATGATTCAATATAGTTTATAATCTTATCTTATCTCCACTTATCTTATCTAAATGTAACCCAAATTTCCCCACAGGATAAATAAAAGTAATGTTTTGTCTTGTTTTACCTTCTTTCCATCAGTGTCAGGTCTGCTACACGAGGGAGTTAACCCCAACGCTTGTGACCAGAAAAGGCGAACGCCTCTCCACGTAGCGGTCTCCAGGGGACATTTCGCCATCGGTAAGTGTAGACAGAGTCGTTATTCTGGGGAACTGAAGCAACATCTTAGTTTATTTATAATAAAAATAATAAATAGCATTTGTATTATTGTAGCGCATACCCCCGCTCGGCAGCAAGCTCTATGTGCTTTACACTATATTATTACCCCAGCAGACCATAGAACACTCAGAAACATTCTCAGCTTCCTGGGAAGCATACAGTGCAAGCAGCCGATTAAGCACTCGAACACTAACAAACTGACATGATCTTTCACTGTCTATGGCCAGGTACCCATTTCCACCTGGGTGAAGTGAGGAAAATAAGTGTTAAGTGCCTTTCCCAAGGACCCAACGTCCAGCCCCTGACAGGATTCGAAACCACGACCTTACGGTTGCGAGTGCGAGAGCCTAACCACTAGGCCACCGACACCAATTAAGAGGGATATAATGAATCAGGGAAACGTAGCTTTTTTAAGAGCATCCGAGGAAAGGAATGAACGGGGAACCATGATGGCAGATGTCTGTTGCAGATCTGGCTCTGTGGGTGGTTGGCGGGTGCTCTGGTGTGGTTTGCTTCTTCTTTCCTATCAAACATCTATCGTCCTTATCTCCCCTTCTTTTTTTTAATGTTTGTTACTCTCTTGTCGCTTTTTTGAGAGCATCCGAGCAAAGGAATGAATGAAAAACCATGATCGCCGATGTCTGTCACAGATCTGGCACTGGATGATGACTCTCTTGTGACACCTCTAATCTTCTGGCGCTCGTATGACCTTATGCAGTTGCGAGCGCCGTAAAACCCTCTACTAAAACTAAACTAGATCTGGCACTAGATGATGATGATGGTGATGAATTCTTACACCATTGACATACATGACAGTTGGAGCTGTACTAACGACCACCTGTCCAAGACAATCACATGTGCAAATGACCACTTCCCCCATCCCCCCTTGTGTTGTTTCTATAGTTATATCACAATGACATCACCCCCTGGGCAGTGCTACTGACTGAAGTGTCTTTAAGCCTTTCCCAAAGGCGGGATATTAACATGTTCTTATGTACAGTAGAATTGTAAATGGGCTGATTTATCAATGTCATGCTCATAACTGTGCCTGAACTGCAACAGGGAACTGCTGCTTTTTCTTTCCTTATCCTTTCTATCGTCATTTTTCCTCTACTTCTTTTGTATGTTTATCACACTCTTGTGACCCTCTATTTCGGGGGTGCCTTGATAGTCGAAGCAGACTTTGTGCTGTTGAAGCTAGAGAGGTGAGCAGAGTAAGTCTGATTCCCTGTAAAGGCTTCTCTGTTGACATTCCCCCCTTGGCCCTCATATGACCTTATGCAGTTGTGAGCGCCGTAAAAACCTCTACTAAAACAAAACTATCATACTGACACTGTCCAAGATGCCCGCCTGTCTAAGACTCCCTCTTTTCTCCTCCTCAACAACGGCTGGTAGAGCTGGGTCGCGAGCGCGAGAACGGAACTGAATCGCCACTCTTGCCTGCGGAACACGATTCACGATTCCCTTCAACGGAACGCGGAACAGTATCGCCTTCCGATTCCCGATTCACTCCCCTGTCACTGTCACCACCTTGCGGCTTGTTTGTAACCTACTGCTGAGTCGCGAGTGCAAGAACGGAACGGAACACTTAGTATGGCTCCCCTTTTTTTTACAAAAGATGGTATAGTCCAACCCCCCTATTAAAACAAAATGAACGAGGTCCAACCAATAGACAGAAGGAATTTTATGGAGCCATTGTTTTAGTGAATCATGGGATAGGGGGGGGGGTGAATTTATGGGGGTCGCTAATTGAGGTCAGTAGATAAAACAGTGCAACAAAGGGTGTGGGGCGGAGAGGATGGCGGAACAACAAGAGTGGGACTCGCGCTCGCCAAGTGGTGTTGATATGACACTGTTCCGTTTCAGTCAGTGTTCCGCCGCAGTTCCACGAGCGCTCGCATACTCGCGATTCTTTGAAGCCGACTGAATCGCGAATTGCCACTCTCAGATTTGGCGAGCAGGATCCAGCTCTAAGGGCTGGTTGTCTTAGACTCTTTCTGCAGCCTTTCTTCTACTGATACTCCTTGTCTCCTCTTACTGCTGTCTTTCAGCCACACCCCTGATCTTATGGTAGGTAAGATCTAACACCTAGCCTTCTCTGATAAGGTCGAAAAATCTTGGAGGTCTCGTGTGCGATTTGTGCTCTTGAAAGATCCCTTGGTGGTCCAAAAATGATAAGAGTAGGCTTTGGGCGTCACCCAGGCAAAATTCAAAACTTCCTACCCACTGAAAATGTGTAATGTGTCCCGCACGCCAATATGACCATATACAGTCGCTAGGGCTGTAAAACTCGTACCAAAAACAATACAAAAGAAACGAAGAAAAAGACTCTTTCCACAGTAACTTTTACCAGTCTTTTTTTGTGATCCAGCTCTGATGTGATTTGGTCCTTCTTTCCTGTCAAACATTTATCGTCTATGTCGTTCCTCCTTCTTTTCTTTGTACGTTACTCTCCAGTAACACCTCCAATCTCTTGCACTTTTAGGACGGAATTGTGTTGTAAGTGCCATAAAAGTCTAACTTAAGCTTTTTTAAGAACCCACATTTATTTTTTGTTGGTTGCATTTCACTTTTTACCCCCCGGGGCAGTGCCACTGACTGTAGTGTCTTTAGGCCATTCCCAAAGGGGGGACATATCTCGTTCAAGCATAGTAGAATTGTAAATGGGCTGATTCATGCCATGCTCATAACTGTGCCTGATCTACAACAGGGAACTGTTGCTTTTTCTTTCCTAATCCTTACTATTGTCATTTTCCTCTACTTCTTTTGTATGTTTGTCTCTCCCTTTTGACCTGCTCTTTTGGGGTGCCTTGATAGTCGAAGCAGACCTTGTGCTGTTGAAGCTAGAGAGGTGAGCAGTCTAAGTCTGATTCCCTGTAAAGACTTCTCTATTGACACCCACCCCTTGGCGCTCATATGACCTCATGCAGCTGCGAGCGCCGTATAACCCTCTACTATTTTTTTTTAAATTCACTTTTTTATTTTCAGCTCACTTGTTGCTGGCCCACAAGGCAGACCCGAAGATGAGAGACATTTTAGGAAACACTCCTCTCCACTTAGGTATGTTTCTTCTTCTCCCTCACTGAAGTGGGTCGTTGGCGGGTGCTCTGGTGTGGTTTGCTCCTTCTTTCCTATCAAACATCTATTGTCCTTATCTCCCCTTCTTCTTTTTTATGTTTGTTACTCTCTTGTAACACCTCTAATCTTCTGGCACTCATATGACCTTAGGCAGTTGCGAGCGCCATAAAACCTCTACTAAAAAAACTCTCTCACTGACAGAGTCACAGCACATCATTGAAGATGCTGTTTGCTCTCCATGGTGTGTATGTGTGCCTGTTGGTGTGTGTCTGTGTGTGTGTGCGGGTTGGTGTGTGTGTGTGTGTGTGCATGTTGGTGTGTGTCTGTGTGTGTGTGCGGGTTGGTGTGTGTGTTTGTATGTGCATGTGTGTGTGTGTACATGTCGGTGAATGTGGGTGTTGAATGACACATCTTTAAAACATTCATTTGAAGATGTTGTTTGTTCTCTGTGGTGTGTGTGTGTGCATGTCGGTGTATGTTTGTTGGTCTGTCTGTGTGTGTGAATATGGGCATCGAATGACACATCACATAAACATTCATTTGAATATGCTGTTTGCTCCACATGATGTGTTGGTATGTGTGTGTGTGTGTGTGTGCATGTGTGTGTAGTGTAGATTCAACTGTATTTGTTTTAATTTATTCTCTTTCCTTCTTCTTTTTTGTGACCGCTTGTCATAATGTTTAACTTTTAAAAATCAAGCATATTGTATGAGGTGATTGCTTTTTCAAGTTCTGGCCTAGATAAACCCCACTGGACCAGGAGAGTAGGTACTGGCATCTGTGGTGCAGTGGTTAGGTACTTTCTAGTCTCAGGCTGGAGATCCAGATTCAATTCCTTAACTCTTTGAGCCCTGAGTTTTTTCCACTGTTTCCCAGAGTTTTTTCTACCCTCACCTAAACCTGGTGCACCATGTCTCCTTATAACCCCAAAAGCTTGCCTCCAACTTCTAAATAGCGGAAACAAAGGCTTAGTAATTACTAAAAAACTTGGTTCGGGAATAGTTCCGAAAAACAAGCAAAAACTAGCACTAAATAAAACGAAACAGTTGTCACTGGTTCTGGACGCTCCCAGCGTCTGATGGGAAACAGGGCTATTACAGCCGGATGCTCCCAGTATCCGATGGGGTTCAAAGAGTTAATTGGGAGAATTTTTACTGAGTGTCTCAGACTTTCTGCAACCCCCCGGGGCAGTGCCACTGACTGTAGTGTCTTTAGGCCATTCCAAAAGGGGGCACATTTCTCGTTTAAGTACAGTAGAATTGTAAATGGGCTGATTCATCTATGTCACGCTCATAACTGTGCCTGATCTACAACAGGGAACTGCTGCTTTTTCTTTCCTAATCCTTACTATTGTCATTTTCCCTCTACTTCTTTTGTATGTTTGTCACACTCTTGTGACCTGCTATTTCCGGGGTGCCTTGATAGTGGAAGCAGACCTTGTGCTGTTGAAGCTAGAGAGGTGAGCAGAATAAGCCTGATTCCCTGTAAAGACTTCTCTGTTGACACCCACCCCTTGGCGCTCATATGACCTTATGCAGTTGCGAGCGCCGTAAAACCCTCTACTATAGAAAAAAAAAAAAAGACTTTCTGCTGTGTGTAGTGGATACCTAGTACTAACACCTGCTAGTTATCTGCCATGCATGGTTATTGTCCTCTACTTCATGCTGTCTTTACAAAGTGGAACAATTCGTAACTAACAACTTATACTTAATTACTTGAGCATGTCCCGTGGACTATACACTAGTATTTTGTGGGTGGTTGGCGGGTGCTCTGGTGTGGTTTGCTCCTTCTTTCCTATCAAACATCCATCGTCCTTATCTCCCCCTCCTTCTTTTTTATGTTTGTTACTCTCTTGTAACACCTCTAATCTTGTGACGCTCATATGACCTTATGCAGTTGCGAGCGCTGTAAAACCTCTACTAAAACTAAAAAACTAAAAACTAGTATTTTAGTAAGCTTTGTTCTTTTACACCGGGTGTTTTGTGCCCCTCTCAGTCCGGGCGGGCCCTGACATGCAGGTTTCAAGCCTGTCTCTGAACGGGAGGAGCTACCCTTGAGGACCATTTTTTATGTTTGTTGCACTAGATCAAATCTAAATACACATATATAAGTTAGACATAGTAAAATCTCTTGATACCCAATTTTATTTTGGCATAGCTACAGAGGTTGCTATGGAAATGGCCGCCATCTTGAAAATAAGCAATGAATTTCAAGTCCCTAAGGCTTTCTTATTTACAGACAAAATTTGACCAAATTTGGTGAGAGTATGCTTTGAAAATTTTCCCAAAGCATAAAAAAACATTTTTCTAAATTTAAGTTTCGTAATCGTTTGCCAATGGAAAAATATTATTTTGTTTCGCAAACATCTCTCTGTTACATTGATGGCAGCATTGCACTCTATGTTTCCTGAAAGTTTCCTATCAAAAGGATGAAAACTAAGGAAGGAGTAAGGAAAAAACGGCACAAAGCTTACATTTTGCAAAAACCGACAATAATTGTGAAAATTCACTATATAAATCCATCCTCATGTCTTTAAAGGCAATTTACCTGGAGAATAAAGTCTTTCTCAATTGTATCCTTGCTGTTTTTAGACAAAAAACTGGTTGATCTTCAAAAATCAGCAGCCAACATAAAATGTGCATAGCCTGACCCAAAATCTGCAAAATCAAGGGTCGCTCCTCCCCTTAAATGATATAAATTGTATCGATGGGGGCATAAAAACATGTATATTTTTCAAAGAAATGTTTCAATCTTTATTTTCAGCCGTGTGTTATGGAGACCGCAGGGTGGTTCGACTTCTGATAGAGAACGGTAATCTTACTGACAGCAGTAGTCCAGGCTTGCCAACTGTGCGGAATTCCCCGGGACTGCTACGGATTGAGCTATCCAGAGTTTGAGAGCATTATCTCATACGCTTCTCCAAAACCAGTCTCACTTTATATCCATCATGATGCTGTGGAATCAGGCGCTCGTCAATTTTTTGGCATATGAAGTTATTGGTATCATATCAAAGGTTGTTTATTTGCCTTGCTTTCAATGAAAAAATATCAATTTATCTCGAATAGAAGTTGAGATATTTGCGGTTGAAGGAGATGGGGGTCGCCTGGTTTCAGAAGTAAAATAACCGAGAAAATGGCCGCCAAAGTTTGGTGACTTCAATAGCTTGAGAGTCCTTGAAATCTGATAAAATACATATTTTGTGCCTTTAATCAATGTTTTTCCATAAAATCCACACCTAAAAGTATTTTTGAATGGACATACAAGGTGTTGAGTCAAAAAATAAATACTTTTTAATAAAATTTCCAAACTGGTAGAAAAATGCTGATTTTTATTTTTCTCGGATTTCATTATTTTGACGAGCGCCTGATTTCACCACGCTGTCTCAAACATGATCTCGATCGTTGTTATGTAATCTGGTATTGTAACGCTGGGCGTCCCTGACTGGGTTTTGAACAAGTTGACAAGCTTGGTGTTTTATTGTTTGTTAGGAAACTTATTGTGATTGTGTGTAGAATACTTTTTCTGTACAGAAAAACTCCTGCGAGTTCAGAATGAGACCTTTATTCAAAGCTTTGCTTTTCAATACTCTAGCTGTGAGCTTTATTACAGGGCAAATGTTGTGTGGAGCTTATCGACAACAAGCGGTTCCACTGTTCTAAGCCTAGGAAACAATATTTTAAGGAGAGAGAAAAAAATCATTAATTAATTAAACAATGTACCTACATTATGTATCTTTTCTTGCTTTCTTTTTTCAACATTTAGAATGTGAATTTTGATCAAATATTTTTAGACCATAAGCAACTACTACCACAGATTAAGATTGAGCCTCAGCTCGGTCTGACGTTGTGTCCTTGGGAAAGACTTTACGCGAATTTCCCATTTGGTTCAGTCCTTTCGGAGATGGACGATAAACTCGGAGGCCCCGCCTCTTAAATAACCTAATATTGTTCGTGGGGACGTTAAACCTATTCCTTTTCTCAGATTAAGAAACTGCAGTAAAAATAGATTTCACAATTTTGAGTTTAGTACACGTGAACAGCTGGCGGAGAATATGACTGTTGTACACGCTGGACTGTTTGTCTGGATGGAACGTGACGTTGCTGATGGTTTTTCTTGTGCAGTGATATTGACAGACAGGGTCTGAACCCTACCTCCAAAATGATCGAAATTCTTGATGGGCGTGTAAAAGCACCTTTTTTTAAAAAAACAGAACCTTCCTTATTTTAATCCTGAACCGACTTTTGATGTGAGATGAGTTCAATGTGAACTGTACATTTCTCACGACGCTTGACTTTGTTCTTCCCCACAGGAGCCAGCATCCACATCAAGGACAACAATGGCCGCACGCCTCTCTCCATTGTCAAGTCTCGGCTCAACACACTCCGAGGAGACCGCAGCGTCTCCACTGACACTCTCAAAGGGGAATTCATGTTGGTAAGATTTGATGTCAAGTAGGGGGTAGATAGAAATTGTGAGTTACATCAAAGATAGTACATAACAAGATGGGCCACTCAGCCAAAAAAGCGTCCGCCAGAAGTCCGCTCTTTGTTTCAGAAGGCGCTGCAGTCTGTTTTGAAGCTCTCTTTCGTTTTTCCAGAAGAAGAATAGGAATAGCACCTCCTGGCGTTCGCAGATCGACCGCTGTTCATCAGCAGTTCGAGTTCGTTCAGTGCGGAGTTTTATTATTTTTTTTATTATAATGACCTCTCGCCTTTCATTCTAAAGTCAAATTAAACGAAGAAAACAATCACCACTTCCTCCGCAAGAGGTTTTTTTGTCAGCGTAACCATTTAAAAAAGCGCTCTTCCGAAATTTATAAAAAAACGTGCTAGTTTCACTTTGATTTTTTAAACTCAAGTAGGATAACTCTGTTCGCAAAGGGTGCGCATTTGCGAAGAGGGCGCCACCGAATTTTGAGGACATTTTTTTAATTGGCTCAAAAGAGAGGAGTGGCCCTTCTTGTTATGTAGACTCTTTGGTTACATAGGAAGTGTGTCAGCATGATGGGAAATGTTATGTCTCCTTTCCTGTTCTCCAACAATGTTCTGTCGTCTGCTTTCGTCTCCTCTTTCTGCCCCCACCCCCCTCACCTCCTTCGCCCCCTCCTCTGAGCTACTGACTCTTTCTGCAGCCTTTCTACTGCTGCAGCCTTTCTACTGCTACTCCTTGGCTCCTTCTTTACTTCTTTCTTTCAGCCGCACCCCTGGTCTTCGGGTAGGAAAGATCTACACCTAGCCTTCTCGGACAAGGGCGAAAAATCTTGGAGGTCCCATGTGCAAGTTGCTCACGTTAAAATCCCTTGGTGATCTAAAATCGATTAAAGAGTAGGCTTCGGCGACCACCTGGGCAAAATTCAAAATTTCCTTCCAACCGAAAATGTTTAATGTATCCCGCGTGCTCATATGACCATATTTAGTTTGTTGCCAGCGCCATAAAAGACTTACAAACAAAAAAAACTCTTGTTGCAGATGGCAGATTTCCTCCAGCACCATGAGAAGCGACTTCAGGCAGAGGCAGCGCCGGCGCCCGTGGAAGATTTGTGTCGTCTGATGGAGGGCGTGTCCACGCGGGAACAGGCCGACGAAATCGCAGACGCCATGATCAGTAAAATGTCCAGCCTGTGCATTGAGAATCAGACAAGACAGACGCCCATATGCCATCCCATCTTATAGTAAAGCCTTTATAACAAGGGGTTTGTTTTGGGGGGGTTTGTTTGGGGGTTTTTTGTTGTGGTTTTTTTTTTCTTTTTGTTTATCAGGGGGGTTTTTTGGGGGGAGGAGGGGTAGAATAAATTTATTTATGTGGGTGGTTTGCGGGTGCTCTGGTGTGGTTTGCTCCTTCTTTCCTATCAAACATCTGGTGTCGTTATCTCCCCTCCTTCTTTTTTGTGTACGTTACTCTTGTAACACCTCTAATCTTCGGCACTTATATGACCTAATTGTGTTGCAAGTGCCGTAAAACTTTTACTAAAACTTAACAATAAATTTGTCAGATATGTATGTTGGGCTGTTTTCGTATGTTTGTCTTCAGCAGTGAACGCCTTATAATGCTAGTTTGTTTTATCGTAATATCTGTAAAAGGACTTAAGTCACTTTCCTGGGATTTCAACTAATAATTTTTCTACCAATGAAGAACCTTTCTTCTGCTTTCTTTAGAACAAAACTTAAAACATTGGTGAAATGGTAAATGAGATGTAAAGCTCTTTGCTGTCTGGTACAGTTTATTGATTGATTGATTGATTTTCTTATTTTTGTTCTGGAAAAAGGGAAAAAATGGCTGTTCTTGACATGGTTGTGTAAGAGACAGATCTGTGGGAAATGAAAGAATAAAGGTACGGAAAATAAAATTCTACTTATGTTAATCCCCAAGGGCAGTTGAAGGATGCTGTTTACCTAGTTGTTTGTTGTTTGGGGAGTAGGTGGGGGTGGGGGGGGGGGAGTAGGTCACACATAATTTGAATTCCCGGTTGTGGAAAAAAAAATCTGTGAGTTCAAGTCAATTGTGAAGTGTTAAAAGGGGGACTACGACATTGAAACACATGACTCTGGATGACTTAAATCGCAAATTCAAAACAAACTTGAAATACTAAAGGGACAAAATGAAACCAAGAAGGGGGGGGGGGGGCAGGAAAAAAACCCTGTGTACAATACTTTGGCAGAACCTGTCTGAGGCTTGCGTGGAGCCTAAAGCCTACGCGTAGTCTAAGGCTAAATCATCTATAGGACTACGTGTAGCCGAAGACTAACTCATCTACAGGCCTATGTGGAGTCTATCATCTATAGGACTACGTGGAGTCTAAGACTGACTGGTCTGTAAGCTTACGAGGAGTCTAAGACTAACTGGTCTGTACTTGGAGTCTGAGACCAACTGGTCAGACAGATCATAATGTCGTGTTTGTTGTCATTCAGTGATGGCAGCGTTGGTTTGTGATGAGCAGAATGAGTTAGATAACGCTCATAGGTGCTGATTTGCGGAATATATCCAGAAATTCACATTTCTGTTATTGTCCAGCTTTTGCACATACCCGCTATACTTCTAAAACATGGTCTTGCCACAAGGTGTCGTGTATATTCTGTACATTCTGAATCCCCACAGGTGCTTTTTGAAAAGTTCGGGATATTTGTTAGTTTGTTTCCTGTTGATACCTCTAAATGCTTTGTTACCTTACTTACTTGCTTGCTTGCTTGCTTGCTTGCTTGCTTGCTTGCTTGCTTGCTTGCTTGCTTGCTTGCTTGCTTGCTTGCTTGCTTGCTTACTTACTTACTTACTGACTGACTGACTGACTGACTTACTGTGTGGGAAATGGAAGACACGTTTTCTGTCTCTCTTTTTGACAGGGAATCTTCTGACCTGTTTTGCCATCACTTTTAAAGTGATTGAAAGGTTGTTTTGTATTGAGTAACAGTACACTGAACATATGCATAGATGGAGATGCCTGATCGTGTCTGTGATGAAATTGAAAGATACATCAAAACAGAATGATTTGGCTTTACTCCTTAAAGTTCATAATATGTGAAGCATGCTGACAAAAGGAGTTACTTCTCGGACTCCAGCCATATTGAAATAGATACATCACGCTATAGGTGAAGTTTTAACTATTTATAAAAGTATGAAGTACTAAAAAACCGTGTTAGACTTAAAATACGACATCAAAAGAAAATCTACAAGTCTGACCATAGTGTCGATTTTCAGCTATTGTCTCCACCTGGGGATTGCGAGAAGTAACTCGTTTTGTCAGCGCGCCTCACAAATGTTTCCGGCCATACGTTCAAATGTACTAAGCCCAAAATTTTGAATTAAAACAATTGCAGTTTTTTTTATTGTTGAAAGCATGTGCTCAAGAAATATTTTGTCAAAATTCAATTTTGATTGTTTGGGAAAAAGTATGAAAAAATACATCCTGCAGGTACAATGTTTAAAAGAATTTAAAGTTGTTGTTTTTTTGTTGTTTTTGTGTAAAGTTTTGCTGTCAGGGCTTAGAACACTTGAACAGTTTGCCGTCGTTCTACTGTGATGATTGCGGTGTTGACACACAGTCCGATCTTGTACAAAATAATCCAGATTTGTGTGGTTGTCCATCATTGGGAATCATTTTGCTTCTGTTTTACATGGTATGAAAAATTATTCATTTTTCACTCAAACTTCTGAATTCTTCAACTGCTTGTGATTTGACAGATTTTCAACGTCAAACATTTTTCCTTTCCTTCAGGCTCTGACTCCTGGATTTCTGTCATATACATACGTCATATATAAACTATTATGCCCAGGCAGCAGAACTTGTCAGTGATGTACATAGAACTACTCTCAATATCAGGGTTGTACAGTATATGTGTCATCTACATTATATCATCTCCCTTGTATAAATAGTACACTATTGCTATATCAGTCATCCCCTAGAATAATAATAATAATAATAATAATATGGCAGTGGCATGTGTGAATTTTGTGTGTGCAAAATTTTTTTCTTAGCCTGCATTCCATAACTAACGGTTTAATGTGACCTTGGCGCCAGGTGAAACCACCAGTCTCAGATTCGGAATGTTTATCTGTAGAAACTTACTACAACTAGAGGGTGATAGAGTTTTGGACAGACTTATAATTTGAGGTCTAAAAATGTGTACATCTGTATTTCCCACCAGGCATCAACTTTGGAATGTTTTCCAACTTGAGTTGCCATATATATATGTTTCCATAGGTGTCACGATATGGTGGAATCATGCGCTCATCAATCTTTTAATGGCATATGGAGTTATTGGTTTCATCTAATAAGAGCCTGTTCATTTTTCCAGCTTTCAATGAAAAAGTACCCTTCTATCTTGAATAGAACTAAGTCGTGATATTTATGATTGAATGTGGTGAGGTTCGCCTGGTTTCAGAGGGAAATTTAGCAAGAAGATGGCCGCCACCAAGGTCTGGTAACTTCCTAAGTTTAGAGTCCTTAGAAAATGCAAATTCACATTTTTTGTGCCTTTAATCAACTTTTTTTCAGTAAAACCCACACATAATTTGTTTTTATGAGGACATAAAAGGTGTTGAGCCAAAAAAACAAAAATGTGATAAAAATTACAGAACAGACAGCAAAATGCTGGTTTCTTTTTTTTTTTTCCTTATTCTGATGAGCGCCTGATTTCACCATGATTCTTCGTATATAATTGTATGTAAGTGTGAGGTTGAAAGCCATGTTGGGTTGGAATAATTTTCCTCCTTCATCAATCTTTATTTTGAAACGATCTGTATTGTGTGCAGTAGGGCGTCTACCATATCTGCCAAAGCTGTCTCTTGCTATACAGTCCAACATGCACGTCACGAAACATGCACGTAGCAAACAGTTTGTCAGGTCCCAAATATTTTCTTATACCTTTTCATGTATTTTCTTTGTATTTTAAGCTCCTACGAGTGGGTGGTTGGCGGGTGCTCTGGTGTGGTTTGTTCCTTCTTTCCTATCAAACAACTAACGTCTTTATCTCTCCTCCTTTTTTATGTTAGTTACTCTCTTGTAACACCTCTAATCTTCGGCACTTATATTACCTTATTGTGTTGCAAGTGCTTTAAAACTTTTACAAAAAATAAAACCACCTACATGATGATATTCGTACTTTAGGAAAAGATTCAGCGTCCCGCCTATTTCACTATGTGCATGTTAGACTGTAGATGATAAACCTATGAATACATCAATATATCATGCTTCTGATAGCGGACATGGTGTGTACTGTATGTGTAATGTATAGCGTTGAAGGGTTGTATTGGGGTGTCACTTGTAAACATTTTCACAACCATAGAAAATACTAGTCTAGTCGCCATCTTCCAGTTGATGTAACGAGTTTTGTGCAAGTCTTCGGTCAGCTGGTCCCATGTACTACTTAGCCCAAAATTGTGATTTTTGTTTTATTATTGCAGTTTTTTTAGCCAGTGATACTGTTTGCATGTTCAAGAAATATTTTGTGGAAATTCAAATTGTAAATGTTGAAGAAAGAGAGAATAGATGCATAATGTAGGTACAATAGCTAAAAGAAGGAAAAAGTTTTTTATTCTCTCCTGAAAAATGTTGGTGTTTCTTGGATTAGTACATGTGAACAGCTTGCGGACAAATGAAACGCTCACCTATCTCATAATAGTCATAGACACCGTCTGTTGAAGAGTTGGTCAAAGGTTGTAAAAAAGGCCCTGTTAACACTTTGCGGTCACTTGGCTCAATAATGCGCCGGTGAACATTATCCATTCCAGTCGCCTGGCGCAGTTCTGCACCGGGCCCAGAAGTTCGTTACAGTCGCTCTCCTGGATGGGAGACCAGATGGGGTATTTTGTACTGCTGACTGTGTGACTGCAAATTGTCAAAGGGACACTCGTTGGTTCAGTTGGTGTCATGCTGGGCTCGGAAGCAGATGGCCTTGGCGAATCACAGATGGCCTTGGCGAATCACCATTGGGGTGTTCTGAAGTAAGGTTGTTTGAGGGAGTTTTTTTCAATAAGGCCTTGCCAGACTTCCTCCAACTGGCTTGGCCCTATCGAAGGTGGACGTTTCATTTGAAGGTCCCGCCTCTTCTCAAATAACCTTGCCGTGTTGAAAGGGTGTTTAACCTATACAACAGTTTGGAAATTTTGAGTTGCCCTTGTGGAGGGAATGAATCTCTCACTGTCTCCTTTGAGAAAATGAAGGTAATACTTAAGGGAACTTCATATGCACATCTAATATGGACGTTATACACACAGTTAATATGGGCAAAGTTTGCCTGTAGTCGATCGTTAGACTGGTTTGCTGTTCTACACAACAATCAAACTAAATGACGCACAGAATCGTCTACACTGTGGAAATCTCACCAACATTCTGAAAGACGTATCATAATCCATTGTGGGTGATATGATAGAGTTGAAATAGCTAAGTCTTTCATTTTCTTTTAAATTAAAAGTACCATATAGATCAGATTCTAATATTTGATGGAAACAATATTCTGGTTGTATAAGTAGATCTACTTTACGTATTGACCATAGAAGTCACCCAAGGGTCCTTTCGCTAATTTTGATCCACTGATTCTGAATCGGGTATTATTTTTACGATTGGATAGATTTTTTTTAAATGTTGTATTCAGGCAGGCATTTTATCCCAGAAGGGCAGCAGATCGTCTAGATGTATAAATATCCAGTTGTGCCTGATTTTTGCGGTGTGTGAGGGCAGATTGTAGGACTACCTGACAGTGTCAGCGAATGTTCTCATTACAGTAAAACCTCGGGTTCTCCTTTTGGACCCAAGACTTTGAACGCCTTGGGGGAGGAAGCTGTTGTTTTGTAGGTAGTCCTTCGTTGCCGAAGATGACGATGAAACCTGCAGCTCATCTGTGGACGCACATGTGGCTGTGCAATCCGATCCTGGATGTACAATGTCTGTTGCAGTGGAGACACAGGAATGTCGTGGTATAGTCAGCTTTTCCCTGTAGTTTGTATCGCTGTTTCTGCTGGCAATACGGACGGCCCTGCGCCAGGCGTTTCTTTCGGTGGCAGTTCTTTCGAGTAATGAGCTGTAGAATGAACCTGTGCGTGACTTTGTTTAAAGTGGAGCTGTCGTTGCACAGTGGCAGTTACACTCTCTCGGCCTAGGATACCTTTACCCAGTGGCAGTGGAGAAAGTACGTATTGGCCAAAAGTAAAATACTTAAAGGACTTACGTCTACAGAAAGTGAACGTTACCTACAACTGATTGTGCAGTTTAAGTTAGCTGTGTACCTCATTCTGGGGTTTTACTGTATATATATATATATAAAAACAGACTAAAGGCTGGTTGAAGTCCAAAAACTGTAGGAATAATAATAGTAATACACTTGACTTAGGCTGACCCCATTTCCTCAAGCGTCAAAGAGCTTGCACAAAGCATCATGTGTAATGTAAAGTTTAAAATAGATGAATCAACTAGCAGAAATCACTTGTTCACTGTGATACCATGTGTTGATAATCTCAAAGCAAAATGGTTTGTGTAATAAAAGAGACTTTCCATTTTTTATTGACTTGTGTTTTGAGGTTTGAGTGTGGGTCGTTGAAAATGTTCTGGTGTGGTTTGCTCCTTCTTTCCTATCAAACATCTGTTGTCATTATCTAGTAACATTTGTTACTGTAGTCTTCGGTACTTTTATAGCCAATTTCTGTTGCAAATGCCGTAAAACTCTTACTAAAACTAAACTAAAAATTAAAAAGGTGAAAAAGTGGGTGAAAGTCATTGGCTTTGACCCATTATTTTTCTTGACCTTGAAAATTTCACATGCGGCTGGCATACGTGGTGTAGCGGTTGGGCGTTTCATCGTCGCATGCAAGAGGCCCGAGTTTGACTCACGAGGGGTGATTCAGTCTTTCTGCTGGGATGTTGTACATGCATCCCTCTCAGCCCGGGTTGGCCCTGCACTGACAAGTCGGGTCGAAGCCAGCCTCCTAAAATTATCTAAATTGTATTGATGGGGTGTAAAAACACCTACATGACAACTTAATGATATATATATATATATACAATATATATATATAAATAAACATGCATGCAGTGAAAGAGGACAAGTGATCAATTGGTTGCTTTTAAGCACAAGGGGGCTATCCCGAAAAATGCCGTTTTGAGAAAATCAAAGATTTTTTTTGCCCCTTATTCAGTTTCTTTAAGACAAGGAGAGTTTTCTCTATAACCAAACAAATATACACACCAATGAACCAAACTCTAAAAGACAAGGAGAGTTTTCTCTATAACCAAACAAACAAATATACACACCAATGAACCAAACTCTAAAAGACAAGGAGAGTTTTCTCTATAACCAAACAAATATACACACCAATGAACCAAACTCTAAAAGACAAGGAGAGTTTTCTCTATAACCAAACAAATATACACACCAAAGAAACAAACTTCTCCTATAGGTAGGGCAATGCCCACTTTTGGTGTAGGTCAAGATTTCTGGAAACCCCCGAAATCTGGGTTAACCCGCTTGTCCTTAAAAGTGACCATATATATAAACACTGATGCAGTGAAAGAGGACAAGTGATCAACTGATGTTAATGTGGAAAGTTGAACGACTCCTTCAGCAGTCGCAATAACACACAACAAGACAAACATCCAGAACTCCGGGGAATAATGAATCAGATGACTTTTTATTCTCACCAAACGTACAATTCTCAATCAATACATTACAATTTACATTACCGTACGTCATATTGCAAACGAAGTATGGCTTCACAATGATGCGACAATCATGGTTGCATAAAAAAGGTGTCAGTAACTGCCGCAGAGACAATCAGGAGATATTTGGATTGGTCAGTCCTGTCAGAGAAATCAACCAATTAATCTGACTCGTGAAAGTCAATGACATTTTGCATTATCTTCATGGTGCTGCCATTATGGTGTAAGTCCAACTTTGACCACAATGGAATATAGATATAACCATTTTGCCATTCCCCTCTTCATGGTGCATCATTTAGCATTTTAAAAATTTTTAAGTGGAAGGCCATTATCCAAAATTTAGACTTCCATTTTTTATGAAAAAAAATTCTTGTAAAACAGCTAAGTTTTCTTGCTTGTCTCATAAGTGCAAAAAATGAGTTCCACCGTACCGACAGCATCATGAAGTTATGAGCAGCAACAAAAGGTAAACAAACACTACAGCTGTTGGCATAGTGTCAGAAACTGACAGACAGACACACACGATCACACAACTGACAGACTGAGACACATACGATCGCACAACTGACAGACTGAGACACACACGATCACACAACTGACAGACTGAGACACACACGATCGCAAAACTGACAGACTGAGACACACACGATCGCAAAACTGACAGACTGAGACACACACGATCGCACAACTGACAGACACACACAACAGAGAGACACACACGGTCACACAACTGACAGACACACACAACAGAGGGAAAGCGGCAGTTGCCCTAACCAAAGTAATAATTCGCCAACAACCCACACCTAAGCTGAATAGAAATGACGCAGACCTCAGACTAGGACACGGGTATTCATGCTTACAAGAACGCATCAGGAGAATGCTGAGAAGGCATCACAAGAGAAGTATATAACACCTCGGACGGAACACGGTATCATGTAGAGAAAAAAAAGCTATTAAATAAACAAATGTTAAAAAACGATTGGTTGGTCTGCACATATATCTGATACATATCACAGTCGATATTTCCCACAAGACATAATCATATTTGAAGACTACCACGGAAAACTGACTGCTCATAAACTGAAAACCATGAGAGTACCAAATTTGAACACTTGTTGACTCGTAACTGTATTTGTGTTCAACTGTTGGTTGATTATTGTTGTTAGATTTCCCATTCGACAACACTTAACAATAAACTACCAGTCAAACAAATATGAAGTTATGAGTCCACGAGCTTTTAAAATTGGCACCCTCACAATTTCCAGTCTGTGACTACAGGCGTTTTTCCGGTGTACTCTTCATTAGGAACACTAACTGCATGGACCTCTGTTACTGTTCTTACACAGATACATACACAAGTTTTGCTGTACAGAAAAAGAAGCTGCCACTTTTGTAACAGTCTTGCAATGTTATCCTCAACAGACACCACGCGACCTCAGTGTTTTCTTGTCGAATCTCCATTTTTTAATACTGACCCCGTCGTTTTAAGCAAGAAAAATTCTGGAATTCTGCAAACTGAGCCCAAAAATGTGAAATTATGCGATTCTGTAAATTTTAACAAAGAATGATAAAGGAAAATAATCAGAAATAATGCGAAAAAAGATAAATTTTGCTAAATTATGCGGGGTGCATAAAACCACAGGGACAGTTAACAACAGTGAAAACAGTGAAAACAGTTGATAACAAAGAGTCAGTTCAAGAAGATGTCACATTTTTACGGTTTCAAAAAAATGGAGACACGACCAGAAAGTACTGAGGTCTTGACTAGGCTTCCACTTTCAAACACACAGAAACGAAGGTCTTGGGACTATAATCTAGTGCAACACAGGCAGCCGGCCCTGGCCAAGAGCACGCTCTTCAGGGCTCCAAACAATTCGAACCGATAGGCTCTCTCTCTCTCTCTCTCTCTCTCTCTCTCTCACGCACGAACGCACGCACGCCCACACACACACACACACACACACACACACACACACACAGGCAGCTTAAAACTGGTCAATTTTCACTTGAAGAACAATTTATTCAGACTCTTTCTATTTTCTGCCAACCTAATAAAACATCTTTTTTCTGAGCTGCAATTTAGGACTTCAAATGATATCTTCCCACAAGACATAATCATATTTGAAGACTACCAGGGAAAAATGACTACTCATAAACTGAAAACCATGAGAGTACCAAATTTGAACGCTTGTTGACTCGTAACTGTATTTCTGTTCAACTGTCGGTTGATTATTGTTGTTAGATTTCCCATTCGTTTTAAGCAAGAAAAATTCTGGAATTATGCAAACTGAGCCCAAAAATGTGAAATTATGCGATTCTGTTAATTTTAACAAAGAATGATAAAGGAAAATAATCAGAAATAATGCAAAAAAAGATAAAATTTTGCTATAAATAAAAAACGATAACTCCTCAGCAAAGCAAAGTATTCTGAGTGCTCAAAAAGCCAAGGCAGCTAAATTCAAAATAAGAATGGACATTATTCAATATTTTTTTTTCTCATGTAAAAATAAACTTTAAAAATCACCCCTTTAGTTGATTGAAAATGTCCTATTTTGTGGGGTAAGATATTGACTCCTATCCTACAGCTTGTGACAAGTGAACAGACAGGACACTACCAGGGGAAATCTTTGAACATTTTCCAGAACATGAACTGCCTCATCTATCATCCATCACAGAGGACACACACACACACACACACACACACACACACACACACACACACAAACACACACACATACACACACAAACACACACCTTCAGTATTTCTACAGACATGACAGTCAAGTAAGGCAAACTCCGTACAGCAGATGGCAACAGTTTGATGACACAGGAATGTGAAGATGGCAACATGGGATGGGCCATTATGCGCCGCACGGGATGGGGCATTATCTCCGGGGATTGGTGGGAAGGGGCATTATGGGCCAAAAGGGATGAAGTATTATCTCCAGGACTTGGTGGGTGGGTGGAGTGGGATGGGGCATTATGGGCCACAGGGGATGAAGTATTATCTCCAGGACTTGGTGGGTGGGTGGAGTGGGATGGGGCATTATGGGCCACAGGGGATGAAGTATTATCTCCAGGACTTGGAGGGTGGGTGGGTGGTGTGGGATGGGGCATTATGGGCCACAGGGGATGGGGCATTATCTCCAGAACTTGGTGGGTGGGTGGTGTGGGATGGGCCATTATGGGCCACAAGGGATGAAGTATTACCTCCAGGACTTGGTGGGTGGGTGGTGTGGCAGGACTTGGTGGGTGGGTGG